GGAGCAGCGAAGGCTTCTCCTGGCGTGTGCAGAGCTGGCTGAGGGCACGCTGCAAATCCGGGGAGAATCATGCCCGAGGGCCGTGGGAACACAGTACCTGCGAGAGGCACGGAGTGAAGCACAGTGCATTAGTCAAGGGTGCTGTCATGATGTATCGTAGTTTCAAATTTCACCTGTTCCTACATTTTGGATTTTATGGATATAAAAATATCCCACAGTTGACTGTCATCATTTAACTTCATTTTTTCCTTTCTAAAGGAGTTTTCTTTGAAGTTCCTCTCCATAATTTATTATTCTCTTGGGTTCTGGAGTGTCTGATGTTACCTGACACCACCAGATCTGGAACCCATTAAGGGACAAACAGAAGCAAAAGCAGGGCAGTGCTAGCAAGTTCTCAGAATAAGGACCACAAAAAGCCAACCTGACTTCGTAAGCAAATTACCACCTCCGTTAATTATATCCTCAGTAATTATGTCCAAAGTCATTTCTGCTACCTCTAAAAGAGAGGTAAACTGATTTAGGATAGCAATAACTCCCCTTTTTCACATATGTATAATCCATACCAACCTTGAAAAATTACTTGTTTTCCAAGAATGAAACCTGTAAGGTCAGGCTAAGGCCCATAGTTCTTAGAAGAATTATACTGTTCACAGGAAAAAAAGATCTAATCCTCATTATGCATTATTCATAGGATTATAATGTTTTTTCTCTTTTTGACAGCAGTATGATTTACAGGAAAATAACAGAGAATGTACTGCTCAGTTCAACTCAAAACATAACAGGAACTTTTCCTAGTAAAATCTTCCTACCCCACTAATGGTAGAAACAGGGAAAGGAAAGACACAACTCGTCTGCACAGTGATGTTTCCGTGCCCTACTGAAGGCAGCCTTGGATTTTATACCTTTTTTTTTGCATGTGCCTTCTGCCACAGATATTTATATATATGGAACTGACTCGACTCCCTATCCCCGTCTTTCCAGGAATAATTGGAAATCAGGTCTTTTGTCCACATGATCTTCTGCTGAGTAAAGCTGCTGTGGTGGGTTTGGGCTTAGTCCCTTAGAACAATCCTGGGCACATCCTCACAAAGGCTGCAGAGATCTGATCTCCGGACAGAGATCGTTGCTCCAAATATCCTTATTCTCCTCCAGTACTGACACCTCTGCTGGTTTCTGCCCAGTTGCAGAAGGGAAAGGAGAGAAATGGAGGAGAAGCCAGGGAAGTCCGGTTCCTCTAGGGAGATCAGGAAGCTTCAACAAGCAAGAAAATTTGCAGCCACTGATCTCTGGTTGTATAACAAAAGGAAAGAAAACTTGTTAATTGGCTTTATCAAAAGAGGAACCTTTAAAAACCACCATGTCTGTTAAAAATTGCATTGGGAAAAATAGAAATGTAATAAATGTGCTGTTTTCATAAAAGGATATAGTCTCTCATTTTAAACTCTTTGAAAACTTAACACTCTAGTCAACAGGATAACAACCATGCATTTAAGCTGTCACTTCCCCATTACACACAAATTAATAAAGCAAGAAATCCTGGTTCAGAGCTCTGCCATTAAAGTCAATAGGGAAAACTGAACACAACCGTACATCATTCCTACAGCAACTAATTGGGCATGGAACTGGCAGCCTCCGGTGGCAAATGGTAAATAATATATATCGCATATAAAATGTTAGATGTATATGACAAATTAATCTGTTTCCCACTAAAGGAAAAGGTCTTTTTAAATGTCTTTTTTCTTTTAATCTGAATGCTAAAGTGCAAGTTTACCTTCATACATACACCTCTCCCATTACATGCATCCATCACATAGAAATACTTGCTAAGGAGCATTAAATTTCAAAGCAGGCCGATTTAAAAATGTGTGTGTGTGCATATGTACATATATACGCATACATATACTTGTGTACACCTAAATCTCACAATTTAAATAAAATTCATTGTGAATAAGCTGATACTAGAGCTTCAGACTTGCAAGAACAACGTATGTAGTGTTCTGAAAGACTAACACGGAGTCGCCTGCATCAAGGCTTCTCAATCACATACATACTACTTATTGATATGTTTTAAGAATGTTAAATACAGTTCTTTGTTGACGTGCAATTGCTTTTTCACGTAAAAATGAGGACAGTTACTACTAGAAAATTAGGGAGGGGAACCAGCTGCAGAGGGTTTTTGTTTTTGCTTAAAAACAAAACAAAAACAGCAAAATGTTCTTAGCAGGCTTGGAGTTTGGAAGAAGAAATGACTCTCTGTTCTTCTCCTTCCATACAAACAAAAGTCCCTCTGCGACTAAGCTGACCTCTGCAATCCTTGAGCAAGGATCCTCCACTCCCTGCACCACAGCAGATGGTATGGAAGTGTGCAAGAAGGTGTTTAGACCTCAGACCCGCAGAACTCAGCAAGCTTTTTCGACATGTGAAAATACTTCCTTTTTCCTTAGCGTAATTAAAAAACAAAACAAAAACAAACAAAAAATACAGTCAAACATTGCTTTGATAAACACTGGTCCTGCTAAACGTTGATGTTGGGGCCAAATGACCTAAATACTCCCTAATTTTTTCTGTGTTCTGGAGCCGAAAGGGATAGAGAAAAGCATTAGCCCATTGGAAGTGATTTCTGGTACAGTTTTACAACTTCCTTTTCCAATAAATTAATTCAAGAAAAAGTTAACTAACTGGTTCAAGCATGATGTTTCTTGCTTGAGAAAGAGAACAATTTTCTTTGTATTTTGTCATTGAAAGTCCTCCCGTAATGCGCTGCCTCCAAAGGCAGAGGACCCTGCTGAGAGCCGCAGGGCCTGCCCATGGAATACCCCTCTGCTTCCCTTGGGCTGCTGCAGCACTTCCCAAAATAACA